CCCGGCACTGCTTCAGGGGTCAAAGAGCCCTCATTTTATAGGGCTCCAGGCTCCGCCCACTCCCTTCCCAGCATGCTTTGCTAAAAGGAGGTTGACACGCAGCCCTTTCTTTCCCCCGAGAACGTGAGCCTGTTCTGCACTTTGCCTTGGCCTATTTCTCCGTATCGGGAGCACAGAGCCAGGGGCTGCTTCCCGGAGTAGGGTGACCAGACAGACAGAATGAGTGTGTGGGGGGGTAATAGGTGCCCATATAAGAAAAAGCCCTGAATATCGGGACTGTCCCTATAAAATCGGGACATCTGGTCACGGAGGGAAGGGGAGCCCCAACTCCTCCCCGCTGGGCTTCTGCTCTGGGGCTCTCCTCCGCAAACGGGGAGAACAAGCCAGGTTTGTTGAAAGCGCAGTCGCTCCTTCTGACTTCCCGGTGACTGCGCTCTGCCCCACGGCTAGGTAAGTGCGCGGGGGGGGGGTAGGAGAGGGATCTGGGAGGCGTTGGAATGAATGAAACACTCTCGGGGTTTTGCTGCTCCCCATGCCCCACTCCCTGGCTCAGTGTTTCCGGGGCTCCCTGCTCCCCATCTCTCCTGGGCTCTGCCCCCCAGCTCAGTGTTCTGGGAGGCCCCACCTCTTCTCTCCCCGCTTTGAGCACAGTTTGCCTCAGCCTGGCGGAGGGCGTGTGGACTAGATGCCCTCCTGAGGTCCCGTCTGCCTGACATTCCCATCATTCTGTAACTCTCTCGTTCTCTAGGTTTCCGCTTTCACGGCGACGGTTCTCACACCTCAGTGCCCGACGCTCGGCTCCTACCCGGGACTGGCCAGATTTCCAGAGGTGCTGAGAACCCGCAGCTCCCATTGACTTCAGCAGGATCTGGGGGGTTTCAACACCTCCAGAAACCAAGCCAGTCTATCTCAATGCTCAGCTATAGAGTTAGGAGCCTAACTTCAAGCCTTAAGTTAATAGCTGGATAGACTTTTAGGGCCAGAAGGACCCATTATAATGCTCTAGTCTGACCCCTGGCGTAGCGTAGGCCGGAGCCTGCCTTGAGTTCATAGGTTCTCGCTGAGCTACAGCAGAGCTTCTAGAAAGACACCCTGGCTTGATTTAAAGATGTCACGTGATGGAGACTCCACCAAGTCCCGAGGGAAGCTGTTACCGTGGTTTATTACTCTCACTGTTAAATTTGTGCCTTATCTCTAGTCGGAATTGTCTGGCGTCCACTTACTAAGGTAAAGAGCCTTCAAGTTCTCACAGTCACATACCTGCTTCCCAGGTAGGTACTTATCAATGGATCCCCTCCCCGTGTTTGGAGTTTATTTACCAAAGCTTTGCATTCAAATACCATTTTCTTTTTTATGGTAATGGAAGGATATTTTTAGGCTTTTCCCAGAAAGTGTGTGAAATCCATTAGAAGGGATTAGCTGTTTCTTTTACACATCTCATTTATATCCCTTGCCTTATGCTGCCAACTCACCACAGATTGTCACCTCCCTCCTGGACCCGTAGAAGGCAAATCAGTTTTTCTTCTCTTTAACAGAGAACTATTGCAGGCCACCTGACAATGATAAGACTTGGCACTCATTATCCAAGGCGCTCCAACGGAGGAGTGAATGCGTTCTCACAGCTCTCACATCCATTTTAACAGAGGGGGAAAGAACGGGCCGAGACACCTTTGATCTTGTAGTTAAGACACTGAACTGGGACTTCGGAGAGTTGGGTTAAATTCCTAGCTCTTCCACGGCTGCCCTTTGTGACCGGAGGCAAGTCATGTGATTGCTCTGTGCCTCAGTTTCCTCATCTATAAAACGGGGATAATAATACTCCTTTCCCCCCACTGTTTTTGTCTCTTGGGGGTGGAGACTGTCACATACATGCAGTGAGTAATAACTTTCACACAGCGTTAATTTAGTATCCCACTGGAAACTTTTCTTTTAACTGGATTTAAAAAAGGAGGTGGAGGGAAATTCTGGTGGGAAGACTTCAGGCAGGAGGGAAAACGAACAGTTACAGCAGTTGAGCTTCTGTTGGTGGCAGATGTATGACTCCTGGTGGGTTTGTCTTATCTTTTAACTGAGAGCCCCTGGGTTTCCACTGCATCTGTTGTACCGCTGCCTTCCAGTCCAGGGACTGTCGGGACACACGTCTGAGACAAGGTGGGTGAGGTAATAGCTTTTATTGGCCCAACTTCTGTTGGTGAGAGAGACAAGCCTTTGGTCTCCACAGTGGGAAAAAGACCCGCTCTTAGCTGCAGTGTAGACATACCTGTTGTGCGCAGAACCAATAGAGTCTGCATGGAAGGGAAGGGATCTGTAATGTAGAAAGAACCTTTCCCTGAACAGGGGTGTGAGCCCTTAGATACTACAGTGATGGGCCGTGGAGAAAGCCTTCAAGCCAATAGCCCGGGGCCAGAATTCCTCCGTTGTGCTGTTGGGGCAGAAGGCCCTACTGGTTAGCGCAGGGGCTTAGGAGCTGGGGTTTCTGGGTTCTAGTCCCAGTGGTGGCAGCGACTCAGTGCCTGACCTTGCAACACAGTCATGTGTGGTGAGCAGGGGCTTGAAGGCAGCAGCTGCATCTAGGGAGCTTGTATAAGGGAAACATCTGGCTAAGCGGGAGCCACAGCCAAGCCCAGACAGCTGCTTGTAGAGGAAAACAGCTGAAGCACTTGCAGGACAGGGTGAGGAAGGTGCCTTGTGGGAAGCAGGATCTCCCCTGGCTACTGCCGAGTGTAGCAAGGAAAAAGACAGGGCCCCTTTTTCTTTTTATAGTGAATAAAAATGCCTGGAAACTTTTTTCTTTGTTTTTAAAGTTCTGGTGACCTGGTTTCTCCCAGAAGAGTCTCGGGAAGGCTGGAGAACCTGCAGGGGGCTCTGACCTTGCAGGTGTCGATGCGCGCTGCAGAGGGGAAGCTATTTTTATTTTGACCCATGAATGTTCTTTGCGTTCCCAGTTAACTCGGGAATACACTTGGGAGCAAGATCTTTGTTACAGATCACCTATTCAGGCGCACCCCGCCCAGTCTCTCCTCTTGCCAGACTGCCCGCGAACCTCACTTGTGTGGCCTCCACTTACACGTGTGCTGGAGTCTGACGGCCACAAGCCCCCTGCTAACGAACCCTCCCCTTTCCTCACCCGCACAATGACCCAGCCCTGCCCCCTGCTCTGCCGTTTGATTATCGGACAGAGCCCAGGCTCCAACACAACCCCGCCAGCCTAGTGGGCACTGCATACTGGGGCATGGCCTAATGATTCAAGGCCCAGACCCAGCTCTATGCCATTTACTGCGTGAAGCCCTGATCTTGCAGTGAGGTCTCGGTGGGTTGGACCCCTGCATCCATGTAGCTGGAGCGGGGCCCATGCGTCCTTCCTCCCAGGTAGGTACTCGCAGACCGTGTTCAGGTCACTGGTTGATAAGCCCTATTCATAGCATTAAAGGCCAGTCTATTCCAGACCAGAGAACTCCACGTCCTTCTCCTGCCCCATACTGAGGCTAGGTCTACACTACGGGGGGGGGTGGGGAAGGGTCGACCTAAGATACGCAACTTCAGCTACGTGAATAGCATAGCTGAAGTTATGTATTTTAGGTCGACTTACCTGGCTGTGAGGACGGCGGCGAGTCGACCGCTGCCGCACTGCCGTCGACTCCGCTTCCGCCTCTTGCCGCGGTGGATTTCCGGAGTCGACGGCAGAGTCATCGGGGATCGATTTTATCGCATCTAGTGAAGACGCGATAAGTCGATCCCCAATAGATCGATTGCTACCCGCCGATCCGGCGGGTAGTGAAGACGTGCCCTGAGCCCCACAATTTGGGGTTGGCCCAGCTTCCAGACAGGCAGCCTGGGCTTGACAATGGCAAGAGATGAAGAATTCAACACTTCCAGTGGGAATCGGTTCTGATGATTATTCACCCTCCCTCACTGTGTCTCCTTCTCATTGGAATTTGTCTGGCTTCAGCTCCCGGCCATTGGTTCTTCGCTAGATTAACGAGCCAAAGCGAGAGAGGGCCTTAAACCAGTGGTTCTCAACCAGGGGCCGGGGGCAGGTTTCAGGGGGTTTGCCAAGCAAGGCTGGCATTAGACTTGCTGGGGCCCAGGGCAGAAAGCCGAAGCCCCACTGCACGGGATGAAGCCCAGGGTCCTGAGCCCTGCCACCCGGGCCTGAAGCAGAAGCCTGAGCAACTTAGCTTCACGGTGCCCCCTGTGGCGTGAGACCCGGGCCGGGCAATTGCCCTGTTTGCTACCCCCTAACGCCAGCCCCGGCTTCTATATGCAGGAAACCAGTTGTTGTGGCACAGGTGGGCGGTGGAGTTTTTATAGCATGTATGTGTGTGTGTGGTGGTGGTGGGGGGACGACTCAGAAAGAAGGTTGAGAACCCCCTGCCCTTAAACCTCAGATTTCCAGATCTCAAATCATTCTTGTAGGTCCTCTCCGAACCCTCTCTAGCTGTCTGCACCCACCGTAAGCCCAGCCGGCCTCCGCAGCAGCTCTGAGTGCAGGACCGTGGCCCGCATGGCCAATGTGCTGAAGGCTGGGGAAAGAGGTGGGATCATAAACAGCGCCAGTCCCGGGCGGTGCCGCGTATGGGGCTTGAGCCTGCTCTGCTGCCATGGGTCTATTTTTCACACAGTCGTCGGGGGGGGGGGGGGAGGAGATTAGGGCCCCTCCTTAGGACTTTGGCAGTAGCCCAAACCTAACAGGGGCTGATGGGAACCTATCTCAATGGGGAAGAGGGGTGTGTGTGTGTGATGAATTGTGTGTTGCATTCTACACTTTATGCCCATTTTGTTTCCCCAGCCTGGACCCACGAGCTGTTCCCATCCGGCTCCAGGGGACTCGGGTTGCTGCTTCTCCTGACCCCCTAGAAACAACCCGGTGGCGGCGTGTAGACACAACCCCTGCCCCAGCCTCGCCACACGGGGCCTGGCCGGGGAGAAGCCCGGGCCGAGGTGAAGCCTACGGTAGGGGGCATTGCAAGCCCTCCATCCGCCCCGGCTCTCCCCTCCCCTCCCCTCCTGGCAGGGAGGGATGGAGGCGGATCAGGAGCGCACGCTTCCTGCCAAGGGACGGCTCTGATGCTCGCAGGCAAAGCCGGGGGCCGGCAGGCAGGAAGGAGACGCGCAGCCCGGCTGGACTCGGCGATCGCAGCCCCAGCCCCCGCCGGGAGCGAGTCCGGGCTTCGCCCCGCCGCTGCCGCATCGCTCCCGCCGCCGGCCCGGGCTCGGCAGCTGCCCCCCCCCCCCGGGGCTGCCTGGCTGCGTCGGGAACAAAGGGAAGTCGCCCCCCGCCGCCCCTCCCAGCATGAAGCTGCCTTGGCTGGCGCCGGGGCCCCGGGCGCTCGGGCGGCTCCTGCCGCTGCTGCTGCTGCTGTTGGCCGGCCAGGCTGCGCTGGTGAGTGACACCTGGTCCC